TTTCACTTGGGCCTCCAGCAACCATAATGGTGGAGGTGTGGGGTCAGGAAGGCTGTGTAGAAGGAGGCTTCAGAATTAGAACTGGGTCCAGTCCTGGCCCTGCGATATCTTCATCTGTATTTTACAGATGAGGTTTAGAGGTTTATGAACTTGCTTTAGATTCTTCAGGCTGCTAGCAGTGGAGCTAGAATGAGACCAGGTCTTCTGATGCCTAGAAAGAGGCTTCATCAGGAGAGAAGGGAGAAGCAAGCATCTATAGGGCTCTGGTTAGGTGCTGGTTAAGTCCTGCTTAGGAATCTGCTTGTTTCTGTGTCCTTACGATCTGTTTGTTTTCCTTCAATTTCCTAGTAAAAGATGTTTTTGAAAAATACCTCCCTGTTTGGCTGAACTGAAGGGGAAAAGGACTCATCAACTTGTCTATACCTTGGTCCAAGCGAGATGCTCCAGAGCCAGGTGTGAGAGCAGCCCAGAAGGGGTTTAGACTGGATTGTCAGCCCCTTCCTGCTGCAGGCAGGAACCTGACGGCCAATCTGGCAGGCCTGGAACTGGGCCTAAAGTTCTGCCACGCCAACCAGGGAAAGGGCTGGGGGGAGGGCTGCTGTTTCCAGCTATGGCTTTGTCAGTTCTAGCAATGTGACTCCAGGCTTCCTCATCCCCTGCCTTAAAGAGAAAGCTGTAGACAGAGTTCAGCTTAGCCCAGCTTGAGACAGATTTCATGTTCCTGTGTGGGGAGGGGTAGGCTCAAGGCTCTGAAGTCCTCTGACCAGAAAGCACCCAAGGTAGGTCTGTGCCAGTAGTGAAGTGAGGGAAATGGAGGGTCTGTGGGACTCAGGAGGGGCTCTGGCGACACTCATTCCATTCTGACCAGGAGGCTGAAGCCTTAGGTTCCAGCCTTGGGCAAGTCTCTTCCCTTCTGCAGGCCTCAGTCTCACCTGTAAAACAGCGATGAAGCCTACACCTGCTTCTTGGCTGGTTTATCTGACACGAAGTGCTTGTGTTCACTTGCTTGCCTATGACCATGACATGGGATACTGCTAGTAAACTGCTTTAGTGCGGCTTTACCCATAATCGGCGAGTTGCTCAGTAGATAGTGTGGTGTTGAGTATTGATAATTAGTGGTGTCCCGAGGGGTCACTGCTCTCTCAGGGAAGCCATGTCTGTTGCTTTCTCAAATAGAAGCTTGAGGGAAGCAACCATTTCTGATGTCGCTATGAAGTCCATTTTTGACCCTTATGTCTGGCAGGAGGTCTGTGAGGACTTATGAGAAAAAGGGAGTACTTGGGTAGGTGAGGAGCCAAATTGACTGGAGGCTTTGGCTGAGAAGCGGGATCAGACTCGGGGCTGATGAAGGTGGAGTTGGTCTGGAGTCAAGAGGTGGGGCTAGGCTGGGTACGATGGCTCACGCCTATAATCCCAGCACTTTGGGAAGCTGAGGCAGGTGGATCACTTGAGGTCAGGGGTTTGAGACTGACCAACATGGTGAAACCCTGTCTCTACTAAAAATACAAAAATTAGCTGGGTATGGTAGCAGGCGCCTGGAATCCCAACCACTTGGCAGGGTGAGACAGGAGAACTGCTTGAACCCACGAGGCAGGGGTTGCAGTGAGCCGAGATTGTGCCACAGCACTCTATCCTGGGTGACAGGGGGAGACTGCCTCAAAAACAGAAAAAAGCGGGGCTCCATGAGAAGGGCCACGCCTGGGGCCTGGGGTCTCCCAGTTGCTGCTAAGGTGAGCTACTTAAGCCCAGAGGAGCCACTGCCTGGTCCCGGACCAGTCTGGCAAAGCCTGTCTTGGGTCCTTCCCACTGGCTTTTGTACCATCTTCCCCAGTGATCAATCTCTGGGCCTCAGTTCCTTCACCTGGGTCCCCCTTTCCCTTATTTGTTTTGAGGGTTCTATCTGAACCTTTCCAAGTCTTGGGGTGTTGGTGGGGCTAGAGACTGGCGCTGCTCCAAGGTGATACACACAATCTGTTCTCTGGCTTGACTCCGCTCCTTGAGGGCAGGGGTCAGGTCTGAGTTTCCTTTGGCCTTCCCTGTCCAACACTGAGCCTGTAATCCTCAGGCCGGTGGTGTAAGCTTGCGTGGGGCTTTCCTCCTCACAGGTGGCATGAGGAGGTAGGGTGTGTGCTGAATTGGAATACATGGCTCCTTGTGTCCAGCTTCCTCTTCCCGACTGGCCCAAGGCTTGGGAACAGTGGCTGCCTTTCTGGGGCAGCCAGGGCACCTGGCCAGAGTGTGCTCTGTCGGGCACTGTCAGCTCTTCAGCAGGCCTCGATCCTCCTCTTAACCTAGAGAAGGCCCTGGGTTATTGGTGTTGTTCTTGGCGGACCACCGGGCCCCTCAGCAAACAGGGAGGCGAGTGTGCACCCGGTCTGGGCCTGTTTGTGTTGGCCTCACCGGGCGGGGGATTAGCTCAGCTGGGCTGCTAATTGCCTCCGAAGTGCCGGCCGGGATGCTGACAAGGGCTGGGCCTCCAGTCACCTCCTCCCCAAGCGGGCACTGTGCCAGGCTTGGGGGCCTGGCCCAGAAGGGCCCCTTCTCTCCCCTGTCAGCGCCTGCTTGGCCTAGACCCTTGAGATGTGGGCAGGGGGTCACCAGGACTGGCGGCTCAGGAAGGAATGGGGGGAGATGCTTATGAAGTCATTGACTGGGCCAGGCCAGGCTGTGTTCCACACACCCCTCCCCCACATGCCTTAGACTGCGCCTCCCCAGCTCCCCTTCTGAATCAGACGCTTTCTCTGAAGCTCAGCACTTTCTCCTCTTACTAGGAAGCTGCTGGGCTCCTTTGCCTAGATGCCCTCACCTCAGTCGCTGCTCGGAGCTCGCGCAGTGTCTTTTCTTGTCTTTCTCCCTGTCTTCCTCATGTCTGTCCTCCCACTCTGCCTTTTCCTCACTCTGGGTCTAGCCTTTCTTAGCGTCCCGCAGTTGTCTGGTTCCTGGAATTCCTTTCTGCCCTGTTTTCCTGTGTTCTCTGGCCTTTGCTTGGCCTCTGCTACTCCCCAGACTTCCCATGGCTGGTCGTTCTCAGTGAGAGGCTGAGAAGGGGGTCTGCTTTATCACTGCGTTTTCACAACCCTCCCAGAGACCTTCAGGCCCAAGCTCTGAGGGCAGCTACAAGGGTGGAGCCTGGACACGGGCTCTCTGCAAGCCTACCCAGCCTGGGAGCCTGAAAGCCTTCCTTCCGTCCCCTCGAGCAGAGTCCTGGGGCCCACTACACCCTTTTCCGCAGCTCTGGCACTCCGACTTGGCCTTGCTCTCTGGCCTTGCCCTGCTTTTCCCAGACATTGGGATCTCAGTCAGCCCTTCCAGCTGGTGCCTACGGACAGCTTTGCCATAACCTTGTCGGCTGCTGCCTGGGTATCCTGGCCGCTGGGGTTCTCTGCTTTCCAACCAGGGGTTGTCTACTTTGGGTAGAGATCTGCCTGCTTCTGAGCCCTGAGTAGGGCCAAAGTCTTGGGGCAACTGCCTCAGCCCCCAACCTGTTCCATGTGAATTAGAGGGATTGAGCCACTCCTCGTTTCAACTCCCCTTCCGCTCCCTTCATCTTACAATGACCTCAACTGCCTCCTAGGTTCCTGAAAAGGGAATAGTAATATTTCCAGTGAGAGTTGTCTGGGAGGGTCGTCACAAAGCGAAGAGGGAGAATTAGAGAAGATGCTGAGGGAGCTCAGGGCAGCAACTGAGGTGAGGGCATTTGGGCAAAGGAGCCAGCAGCTTCCTAGAAGAGTTGTTGAACTTTATAGATGTTCTCATATTTAACACCACCAATAAATAGATTCTATTATTAGCCCCACTGAAGTGTGTGTGTAAGGGGGTGGGAGCAGGCCCATTGTACAGATTAAGAATTGAGTCTGGGAGAGGACAATGAATTGTCCAAGGTTTTATCTAGTGAAGAAGTGGCAGCACTGGGATTCAAACCAGGTCTATCTGATTTCAAAGCCTGGGACCTTTTCACAGTGCTAGGAAAATTGTTCAGCACAGTCACCTGGACTTTTTTGTTTAGTTTTGTTTTGAGACAGGGTTTTGCTCTGTCACCTACGCTGGAGCTGCAGTCTCAGCTCACTGCAACGTCTGTCCCCCAGCTCAAGCGATCCCTGCTCCTCAGCTTCCTGAGTAGATGAAACTACAGGTGTGTGCCACTGTGCTGGGTTAATTTTTGAATTTTCTGTGGAGGTGGCGTGTCACCGTGTTGCTGATCTTGACTGACTTGCTCCTCTGGTGTCCTCTATGCCCTCTCTGCCTTTTTGAAGAGGAGGTGTCCCTTTTCCACCCACCTATAACTCTAGGACCTCCCTTTGTCTATTATGCCTCTGCCCGCGATCCTTCACAAATTCATATACCCTCCTGATGTCCTGAAAGCACTTTTCCTTTAGCCCTTCACCCCGCTAAACGTTTGGAAAGCTGAGCACGCAGCAGCCTATCCATTCCCCGGCTGGTGTGAATTTGCTTGCAGCGGGGGTGGGGCCTGCCTTGGTAAGAATGAGAGGATTTTACTCAGAATGAAGGTTCCTGAGAAGCCACCCTGGATCTCCCTCTCAGCAGCGAGTTCCCTTGGCTGTGGCTTTAGACTTGAGTTATATGAAGTTTTCCACCCAGACTCTTTATTCTAACTGGGTTCTAATCCTGGCGTTTACCTGTAAGCCACAGGCCGTGGATTCCCATGTTGCAGGACAGAAACTAAATCCTCTTCCATCGTCCCCTACCTCCCTGTTAGTACCCAGTTTACCAGGCCCTCTGCTCCACATCAACACTCCTGAAAGATCTGACCAGGCCAAGGTTTAAGTAGCTGGTCATGATGCAGTGAAACGCACATGAAGAAGCCTTTGTGTGTTAAAAGGGAAGTTTCAGAAGGCATGCAGATGGGTCTTTGTGGCCCTTAAACCACCTATTAAGGCAAAGGGGCCCCTACATAAAGAATTTGCTACTATTTATCTGCTATTCTCATGTCCTTCTCCAAGTCTCTTCTCCCTATTCTATAAAAAAAGTCACTGTCACAATTGCAAGATAAAGAAATAATCATTTTATCATGCATCAGACTATGCCATGAGGACATCACAATGGCAAAGAGCCTCGTATAAAAACTGGAGGATGGGGCGGGGCAGCAGAATGGGTTAGCAGCATCCAGAGCTGGGCTGATCCAGCCCTAGGCCTAAGGACATCACCTTTGCCTTGGGATGAGAGGAGAGTGGTTTGGGTAGGACGTGGACCCTCTGGCCAATTTCCAGGCCATGGTGGGGCCAAGATGGAGTGGGTTATGTAAGGGTTGTGCCAGTTCCCCCAGGTCCGTTTGGAGCTGGGCATGTCCAAAGAAGCTCCTTTTCCTGTGGCTGTGGATTCCTTTGACCTCTGCAGCACTGGTGGTGGTCGGCTTGGGCAGTGGTTCCTAGAATCTGATCTGATTAACCTAGGTCACAACCTTCAGAACCCCAGGAGGATCTGCTTTAGGAGCTTCCTGGCAGGTGAAAAGGGCACTTCCCATCATATCAGCATCCAGCCTGGACCTACTGTTCCTTGGGTGGGGAAAGTGGCTCAGCTTTTGTCTCTGGGAGGGGAGGGCTCCTCACTTCCCTTTTTCTGGGTCTGGCCTCTGCTAGTGAGGGGTAGCATTTTTTCTGGGCTTAGTGGACAGCTGAACAGCTAGCCAGAGGAGCAGTGCACCTAGCTGGGCAGCTGTGGTGACAGTTGGCCCAGCTTTTCATCCACATCAGAGCTGGCCTGCCCCAAGATTATCCCCACATTTGAATGTGGCTCCACACCTCACTTGGTTTTGGCTTCCTCCTTGTATGGACATTGAGCAGAGATCTTGGCTGGGGGCCAAAGGTGTTGACCCTGTCTTTGTGAGGAAGCCAACACTAGGAGGCACAAGCCACAATGCCTGGAGAAAAGTTTCTGCAGCCTGGAGCCCGTATCCCGAATCTCGGGTGCTGAATTCAGCCACTGAACACAGGAGCCAAGAGCTTGGAGTGTGGGAACCCCAAATGGGATCACAGAGCACAAGATTTCAGACCTGAAACTTAGAGCCCCATTGTGGGGGCAGTCTGGAAACTGGGCTGACAGCAAGTTCCTCGGCTGATTGGGAGCCCATCTGAGAAGCAGCTGGCTCAGGGGCAAGCTCCTGCTCCTTACATGTCCCGCTCACAAGCCTGGGCTGGGCTCCTGATGGTTTGCACAGGGTCAGGCCTGGGTTGCTGGTGCTGTTTCTTGGGAAATCTTGCAGTACCCATGGTACCTGGGACCCCAGGGACCCAGAGGTGCTGGGGATGGGTACACTGCTGAGACCTCACTGTCAGCTGTTCGTGTCTTCTCTCAGAGCCCATTCTGCCCTCAGGAACCATGTGGGCTGCAGCTCAGTTTGTGGTCTCTGGCTCCTGCTGCTTTCCTGCCCCTTTTCCTCTAACCAGAACCCCCCTACCCCAGGCTCAGCCCCAAGAAGACCTGCAGTTTCTCTGCCTCTGTGTACAGGAACCAAGGAGGAGCCTTGGCTGGAGGACTCTCCTGGCTCTGCCTCTCTATCCAGCTTGCTGTGAGGTCTGGTGAGCATTGCCCTCTCTGCCGTCAGATGGGCACTAGCATTCCTGTTTTGTCTGCTTCCCAGGACTGTTGTGGCCATAGGGCTGCCTAGAACACATAGTATTTGCTCAATAAACGGTGTTGAGTAAGATAATGGGAGAGGACTTTACTGCACAGCCCTCTCTTTCCTCCCTCTCTCTCGTGTGTGTGTGTGTGTGTGTGTGTGTGTGTGTGTGTGTGTGTGTGTTTTCCATTTTCAGTTTCATGGACGAACAGCACTGTGATAGGTGACTCAGGGGCATACTGCAAAGGCACAGCTAGGATCCCTGGTCTAGGATGGCAGGCCTCACCTCCCTCTTCTTGCCTGGAATGGCCTACAGAGATTGAACTGCTAGCTGCCCATGTGAGGGTGGAAATGAACCTGGTGCCCTTGACCTGGTTATCTGCTTGTTCCCTTTCTCAGGGCTTTTGAGAGACATGGTTTCTAGGCCTAAGCTGCCAGGAGTCCGTGTGTGTATGAGTGCTGGAGAGTTGAGAGTTCTTTTTTCCAGAGGGTGTGACTTCCATCAGACGGTACCTATTTTCCCTGCCATAAGGCCCCCTCTTCCCCGATGACACGGTTAGTAGCTCTGTGGTGGTAATACTCCTTGTTACTCCACCTTAAGTCTGCAAGTAGAAAAATGGACACAGATAACAACTGAGTGTTCAGTGGCAACCACATGCGGGCAGCCAGAAGCACGAGCAAGGTCCCTTTGGTCAGTGGCAGCCACAAAGGCCCAGGCTTTGGGGAGGCCCTGGTTGGTGCCCTTGGGGTCGCCTGCCTGGTTTCGGCAATAAATAACATGAAGACCCAAAAACCAAACCAAAACAAAAAATACAACGAGTATCTCTTGGGGTAGGTGGTGGGAGACTGTTTAAATTATGGGCCTTCCCTGGGTCATGAGGTGGTTGCTGGTGCAGGGCTAGGCAGGCGGTCATCGGCACGTGTGCAGCTCCACGAGCCGCTGGCACTGCCGGCACTTGACGAAGCAGCACCAGTGGAATTTGCAGCTGCAGCGTTCAGCCAGCTCCACCTGCGCCGTGTGGAAGCCGCGGCCGCAGCACAGCAGCTCACAGCCGTCGATGGCCTTGGATGTCTTGTTGCATGTGCGGCCTCTCGTGCCCAGCACACCGCTGCGCATGTCCTGCTCGCAGAAGTCGGGGCTGGGCTCCAAGTACACCAGGTCCTCATCTGTATGTGGCTTGAACTGTGCGTTGCGTGGCACCAGCGCCCTGGAGGAGCCCACGCGGCGCGGCTCCACCTCAGTGGCACCATCAAACTTCTCCTTCAGTGCGTGACCCACCTGGCGGAAGGGTGGCACGGCTCGCCAGCACGTCTTCACCTCACAGGAGCCTGACACCCCGTGGCACTTGCACTCTACCCGCATGTGTGTCAGGATGGCCTGTGGGAGAGCGTAGGGAGAGGGGTCAGCAGGAGATGCAGGGGAGGGGCCTTGGAGGCCGACGCGGAGAGTCGGGTTCCCTGGGGCTGACGCTGCACTCAGATTTGCTGTCGTGCTTCGTCTTACGAATTCTGTAGGACTGGGCTGCTAAGCAGTGCTGGGACAGGTGAATGAGGTACTGCCCCTGCAGTTGGGACACTGGGAGCTGATGAAAGAGAAGCATTAAGGATGGTGTCCTACCAACAGTGAGTGACAGGTTCTGGGTCGGGAGAGCATTGCCGCATTTGCCCTCCACAGGAACCTTGGGAAGCAGGCATTGGTAGGCAGGTGGCATTGCAGTTAGGTACACCATCTTGGTGGCGATGGAGAGAAAGGTTCACATCCTAGTTCTGCGCTTCTTTGGGGAGTGAGTGTGTGTGAGAGACAAGGATGGACATGCATGTGCATATGTGTGTGGAGGGGGCACATATGTGGAGGGGGCCACTTACCCTGTTCTGTAACACCTGCCCACCTGTCTGTGCACTCACCTGGCCTGGCCTGAACCCCACTGGCCTGTAGAAGGTGCCAGGTGCTGGCAAGAGCTTGCAGAAATGTTTTCTGAGTGGCCGTGTGGGTGGGAGAGTGTGTGGGGCCCTGCCCGCGCTATCCCTGCCCCACTGCTGTTGGGGGTAGTGCCACACTACCTTCCTGCCGGCCTCATTGTTGTGGAGGTTCATGAGGGCTCTGCTGGACGAGGCCCCCTTGCTTCTCTCCCGCACATCCACAAACGACTGTGAGAAGGCCACACCGTAGGCGATGTTGTCAGAGCATCCTGACCACTGGAAGCCTGGGGTGTGGTGGGCACAGAGAGGGCTGGGGTGAGCAAGGGCCAAGGCCAAAACCCCCGCCCTCCCACTCTGACCACCTCCTGTACCTACCCTCCGGGCTGACCCCGTGCACTGTCCGGTCACAGCCGCACTTCTCCAGCTCTCCACTGCTGCATGCCCGCGTCACTGCAAAGGCCACACCTGCCGAGGAGATGGCATACACGAAGGCCGCCTCCCGAGTACCTGTGGGAGGCAGAGGGAGGGCAGAGCTGGGTCCCAGGGTCCCTTCTCCTTTGTAGAAGGGGAGGGGCACGTTGGGCCTCCTGCGTGCTGGAGGCCAGGAGGGAGCAAGACAGGGAGAAATTGTGTGCTAGGCACCCCGTGGCGCTGGTTCTTATCACACCAATAGCTGGATCTGCTTTCTTAACCAGGCAAGGCTTAGGGCTCTTCACATGGGAGGATCCTGCCATCCTCACAATCACCCCAGGAGGCAAGTACTATTGCCATCTCCATTTAAACAGGCTCGTTGGCTTTTCCGAGGCCACTGAACCAGCCGACAGTCTGGCTTCAGAGCCTGTGTTCTCAGCTCCTGTGGAAAGCTGTTCTTACTCCCTCCCCAGAAGGTTTGTGAAGGTTTATGGAAGACCAGACAGGCTGGGGGAGGTGAACTGGCTTGCCAGGCTGCAGGTAGGAAGGAGGACTGGACTCTAATACCCAGATCTGGCTTCCATTCCCCAGCTGGCCCCACTGGGCTCTGAGGAGTCACCCCACCTTATGATCCTGCCCCTTCCTCAGACTGGGCCTATTTCTGAAAACGTCTTGCTTTCTCAGAGTAGACTTAATAACAATAGCTTCTACATAACCCCTGACCCCTACTGTGGCTAATTAGGAGCTACCTAGTATGCCTAAGCTCGCCACCACTGGGGACTTCATTTTATCCCATTCTATAGATGGAGAAATGGAGGATCAGCGGGGGAAGGGATTTGGTCCCAGTCACCCAGCCAGAGTACCACAGAACCAAGACTCAAGCACGCGTCTGTCTGCCTCTGCCCCATGACTTCTCAGTGATTCTATTTTGGTGCCGGCCCTCGTCCGCTGCCTGAATGGATGTTTTTATCCTAAGAACTGTGCCTCGGGGGTGTAGCTGTTGTGGACTTTCTTTCTGGGGGTGGGAGACACTGTGTGAGCTGGAGTATGCATGGCTGGCTGGGTGTGTGACCAGACAGCAGGCCATGCTCCCCTCCTGGACCCTGTGAGGAAGGCCTCTGTGTGCTGTGACTGTCCTTCTGTCTCTTGCCGGAGTGTCTGTGTCCGCAGGAGCGGAGGGGGCCGGCTTTGGCCCCATGGTTGGCAGTTACCTCTGTGACACCCAGGCCTGTGCACTTGGCTGCCCCAGGGAGCAGTCACCATGGTCAGATGGAAACAATCACCTTCTCTGTGCCCGTCTGTGGACAGAGGCAGTAGAGGCTGAGCGCTGGGGCGGGAGGCAGCTCAGTCCCCGACCACTCAGGACGCCCTGTTCTTGGTTCGGCCTTGAGCTGGCGATAGTGCCCACTACCCACTCTCCACTGCCCGCTCTCCTCCCTGGGTTGGCCATTTTGGGCCAGCGTTGGGGGGCTTGGCTGGAGCAATGGAGCCTCGACAGCCTGAAACTGAGTCTTCTGCAAGTTAATTGAGGTTAATAGCAGGATCATGTTGGTTGGTTTTATGCTGTGGCCGCCCAAAGAGAGACAACTTCAGTTTCTGGTATTTCTGGTATTTCCAGGCCTGAACCAGCACAGATCTTTGCCCCAAAGATCAAGGGGGAAGGGAAGTCAAAGAAGGAGATGGGGCTGGCTGATGAGACTGGCAGGTCGCCTCAGCCTGGCCTCGCATGGTTCTTCCTCCTCTGCTGGTCTTGGCTCCCAGGCCGCCCCAGCCCAAACCAGCTCCAGGCTGATCTCCCCTGTGTACTGGTGGTCCCTGGGGTGCAGGGCCCCCAGGGAGGTTGCTCAGAGAGACCTCTGCCTCATTCCCCAAACCAACATTCATCCACTGAGACTCCAGGCTCTTTTTGCCCTGGCCTCAGGAGCAAGAACACTGCAGTTTTCTCAGCTTGGGATGGGCCTCACGGAAGAGATTCTGGAAGGAAGATACTAATGAGCTAAAGCTTATAGGCAGTTTACCATGTGCTGGGCCCTGTCTAAGCACTTTACATATATTATATACTTGTCCTAACAACCCTATGAAGTAGATACTTTCATCTTTCTTTGACAGATGAGAAAACTGAGGCACTGAGTGGTGAAGCAACTTGTCCAACAACACCCAGCCAGGAAGTGGTGGAGCGAGAATTTGAACCCAGGCAGCCAGACTCCAGAGCTTTCAAACTTGACATTATTCTGCCTCCCAGAGCCCCTGATCCCCTGGGCGTCCACATGCAGTTAATTCCACCACCCACATACGAAGCCAAGAAGGGCTTCCTTAGGGACCCCCCCCCACCACCACCAAACTTCACATGCTGTAGGACAAGCCCAGTTCCTTCTGTGGGTTCTTTACTGGGGGATGGTGAGCAGTTGGCTTCTGGGCTCAGCACAGGAGGCCCCAGAAAGTCTGGACGATGTGGGCAAGCATCCGTGCCCCGAAAGCTGATGGAGGCTCCTCCACCAGCCTTCTCCACCTAGTCCTGGCTTCCAGCCCTTGGACTCCAGTGTGGTGGCCCTTCCCAGCTCCTCACCTCTGCCCAGGTGCCCATGCTGGAGCCCTGCTTGCTCGAGGAGGATCTGGCAGAGCACTCTCCCAGGGGCCACTCAGACATAGAGAAAGACCTATGGTCCACCTGGGCAGGTAGCAGCAGGGGTTCCCTAGCAAGGTGGCAGATGGTGTGCCCTGGCCAGGGGCTGTCCAAGGCAGAAAGGCAATCCTCACCTGGTCCTTTCCCGGGCCAGGGTAAGGCAGCACTCTCTGTGGTGTTCTTCCTTTTTCATACAGCCATTTGCCCCTTCCTCTACCCAGTTCCTTTCTTCCGCTGTTTCTTCTTCCCAGAGAGCATCCCCGGCCCCTGACATCACAGGTCTAAATACTTGGGTGTCCTCTGGGTCCAGCCTCAATGCTACCTTTTCCAAGGTGCTAAGGCTGCACTGCCTGGGAATTCAGTTATCCTGTAGATCCAGTAACAGCCCCTCTTTCTGAGGGCCTGCTATGTGCTGCCTGAGGCGCACGACAGTCTCAGTAATCAGTTCTCTACAGCTCTGCTCTATAGAAGAAAAGCTCAGGCTTGGTGGCTTGCTCCAGGTCCCTCAGGCAGTAAATGGCCAAGTAGGGATTGGAACTAAGGCCTGTTGGACTCAGCCTGTGCTCTTTAGAGCATATCACTTGTGAAGTCTTTCCCAGATACGGGAGAAGGAAGGGTGTTTGAGCAGTTTGGAGTGTTTGGAGAACTGGCTAAGGCTGAGTTGGACCAGCAATGAAGCCATAGGCTTGCTGATCCCCTGGGTACCAGGGCCGGTATCTTGATGGAGGTGAGGCCCAGCTGGAGTCTTGGGGAGGTGGGGCAGGACAGGCACCGTTTCCCAGGATAACCTTATCCCCCATTCTTTAACCTCTATCCCTGCTCAATCTGCCTTTCCAGTTCCCTTTACTCTCTCAGATGTGCAAAACCCCACCTTTTCTTGTAACCACCTCTTGGAAGCTTTTTTGGATTTAAGAGACAATATAGGGTAAGGGAAAGAGCAAAGCTTCAGAGGAAAGTTGTACTGGATTCTCACTAGCAGTGTGACCTTTCTTTCTGAGGTTTCCTGAGTGTTCTCCCCTCTCACACGGGGATAATGCCACCGCAGCAGGCCAGACCTCACACCTCTCTCTCCCTGCCTCACGTGTCGGAATCAGGATGTCGCCAGTTTTATCTTCTAATTGTCTTGTGTGTGTCTGGCCACTGGAGCTTCAAGGCATTCCCAGTCTGGGAGTGTCTCTGGGGTACCCTCTCCCCAGATCTTCTGTAACTTATGGCATCAAAAGGCTGGCCACAGAGGTCATGCAGGAGAAAAAAGTGTTCAACCCATTATTGGGTCCAGTGTGATGCCAATATTGAGGACAAAGGTGAGAGCACAGGTGTTAGTGAGGCACACCCAGGACTACAGAGCATTTGCTTCTTAGGTCTGCGTGGTGCTGTAGTCAGGAAGGTGTCCTAGATGGTTTAGACATGGGGAATGAATGGACACACAGGCCTGGGTTTGGACCCTCGCTTTGCTATGGCCAGGGCACCACATGGCCTCCCAGCCGTAGCAGTCAGAGCCTGAAGGGGCCTCAGAATTCATCATGGCCGTCATCTCAGGACAGGGACTTGCTCAAGGTGGTAGAATGAGACATGGTAGACGCCGAGGAGGCCCGGTGCTGTCTCCAGAGGGAGGAGAGCGGGAGAAGGGCACTTTTCACTGCTTTTCCTACCTCTGCCATCCTGCCCAGGCCAGCCCAACCGGAGGCCCCGCACGCCTTTGCCAAGCCCTATAGCCTCCCTCCCACCCTCACACCCTTTGGTTCAATGGATATTTATTGGTTTATTTGATATTTATCAGTTCATTCAGTATTTAATGATTCATTGACTATCAGTTACCTTTTATGTGCAGAGCCTGCTCATTTAATATTTTAATAGGCCTTGGGATTAAGAAGTGACTAAAACACAGAGGCCAGCCCACATCTAGCCCTGGATACCTGCTCAGCCAAGAACCACTGATCCCCGCACTCCCGGCCATGCCAGATGCCATCTTTACCAAATTTTTGGTAGATTTTCAGCCTGGAACACACGGTTTTGCCCCAAATTACACACCTGCCTCACTGTTCTTTATTAGTTCACTGTCCTCCTTGCCTCCAGGCCAGGAGCAGGGGAGGCTAAGACCTGGGGCAGTGCTGGCAGTGGGACCCACCAGCCCTGAGCCCTGAGGGGGTCAGTTAGCCCTTCCTAATCTCCCCGATCCTCACGGGAATCCTACGAGGCTGGTCCTGGGGTTGTCAAGGAGGACACTGAGACTTAGAGAGGGCACAGACCTTGCTCAGAATCTCCCAGCCAAGAGTCGGCAGGCCCAGGGCTGGGGGTGTTCCCACCCTCTGCTTGCCGAGTCTCCTTTCTCAGCTGTGATGTGGGAGAACAGGACTATAAACTCACAGTGTCACAAGGGTGACCCGATGCAATAGCACACGACAGGCCCTCAACAAATGGGGGCTCCTTCTCTCCTCTAAGTCCCCATGGGGGCTGGTCTGGTCTGTTAGCTCTGTCTTCCACGTCTGATGCCACGACCAAGCCAGGCCACTCATGTATGCAGGCTCCAGCCATGTCCTTAGTCCTGAGGGCTGGGCATGTGAGCGAGGCCCGCTTACCACTGGCTGCTGCAGGTGATAGCAGCTGGTGACGGGAGGCGCCCCTCTTGGGTGAGGGCCTACACGCAGTGCTTGCCGTGCATGAAGTCACTGTATCTCTGTGACAGCCTCATGAGGTGGGTCTGCGTGTGGTTTTGGTGCCAGGCGAGGACACTGATGCCCAGGGGAGTGCAGTCACTTGTCGGGGGCCATGCTTGTCCACGCCCTTCCTCCATCTGCCTCACTAGCCAGTCCCTGGACCTTCTGAGAGCAGGGCTTCCTCTCGGACCTCAGGAAGGGCAAGCCCCTTTTCCTCTTAGTCAGTGGAGACAAATTAAGAAGTTTCTAAGAGGAATTTTACTAGGGAAGAAAACAAAAAATGCAAAAGGGAAGAGTTTGATGAGTGAGCAGAGCTCAGCCTCTTCCTCCAAGTGCGACTGGTACCTGCCGGGTGTGACTGGCCTAGCCTCGGCACCTTGACATGTCCCCCTCCAAAGGGGGTTGGACGTTTGACTCCACCACTCAGACTTCGGTCCAGAGCAGGTGGCACCCGGCCCTGGCAGGAATATCAGCGTCCCTCAGAACTTGCTGAGCCCGTGCTGGGTGCCCCTTGGTTCCTCTCCCATAGGTAAGGAGGGCTTTTCTCTGGGTCCTGAGTACCCATGATGGCTTCAGGCCAGCATGGCCCCAGGCTTCTCCCTTCCTTGCCCCTTTGAGTCCTCGACTCCGACCTGCTTTCTGTCATTAGATGGCATCCACTGTCTCCTCCATGCCAGGCTTTGCCACATGCTGAGAAACAGGTCAATGAGGGCTTCGAAGGGCTCGAGTCCCAGTGATAGGGGAATGGAGTTGGGTGACGAGATGCACATTTCAATTTAAAAGGTGTGCTGGAAGCAGTGTGACCACAAGTGGTTTAGACAAAAATGTTGTATCTCTCTCTATATAAATAGAGAATAACAAGGCAAATGGGTGAAAGTGTAAGCTGTTGGTGAACTGAGTGACGAGGATATAGGAATTCCTTGTACTACTTTTGCAACTCTTCTGTAAGTTTGAAATGATGATTTAAAAAAATCGCACAGCAGCAAAGAGCTTTGGAACCCAGGAGGAAGATCTGAGAAGGTGTTGCGGAGGAGGGAACTGCTGAGCCCTCAGGAAGGGGCTTGGGTGTTTGAGGTAGAGGGCGTTGCATGTAGAAAGGGAGGTGGGGAGAGGGTGACAGCCAGTCTATCCACCGATCTGCCCAAGACACACCTACTGCATGCAAGGGCTTCCCAGGCTCAGGGGCTGCTGTTTGAGGCTGGTTCTGGGGCCCCATCGACCAGGCCGTCCTGGGCCCCTGGAGGCAGCACTGCCATCCTGGGAAATCCTCCACTGCCAGGCTGCTCACTGGGTCTCTGTTGCTTTTCCAGAGCAGCGATGTTCAGCAATGCCAAACGAGATCATGCCTTTTTGGCCCCTGCCAGCTCCTAGGAGAATGGCTTCCAAATTTCTATCACAGTTGGTTTCCAGCAACATCCAAATGGTTTGCCACAAGCCCAGCAGCCCGGGCCGTCCAGGACCACAGGTGCCAGGAGAAGGGTTGGCCCAGGCAACCCCTTCCTGCTGTCTGAGCAAGTCAAAGGACCCTGTCGATGGTTAGTGGCTCAGAAGTGTCAGTTTCATGCTCGGTAAGTAGAAAAAGGGGCCCGTGGTTTAGAGTACTTCCTCGAGGGCAGGGGCTTGGCCAGCGACTTCTGGAGGAGACTTCCAGCTCCACAGAATGTGCTCTATGCCCTGGCCCCACTGATTCTGGCTTCATGCTGTCTCATATGTCTGGTATCAGCTGAGGGCCAACCTCCTCAGGGAAGCCTTCCCTGAGCATCCCAGCCCCAGCCAGGGTGGTGTCCACACTGTGCTCCCACAGGCTCCCCGGGCCCCTTGATCACAGCGTTTCCCCATCGAGGGTAAGACCTCAGACCTTGGAGCAGGACTGCCGGGGGTTAAGTCCTGGCTCTGCCACTTTGTAGTTCGATGACCTCGGGCAAGCTACCTAACCTCCATGTGCCTCTGTTTCTGCTCATCCCTGTATCTCCAGCCCGGCCGTGCTAGAGGTGTACAATAGGGTTGGTCGGATGTACCAAGGAAGGGGATGGGCCCAAGTGCTGGGGTGGGAAGAGCACTGGGCCGGGGGTTCAGGGTCTCAGGTCTGAGCCCTGACTGCTCCTCTCCCTCTGAGGAGCCTTGGGCAAGTCAGTCCTGTACCCTGCCCAAGTCTCAGTTTCTTCCTTCATCATCTGCTTACACTTCCAGGAGGCTAGCTCTCCTGGAGACACTGCATGCTTTTGAGTGCTGCACCAGCACAGAGCTGCCGCCTCTTCCGATGGCCCCCGTCCCACATGTGCCTCCCGCCTGGATCATCCTCCTGTCTCTGGGCTCCCAACGCTCTGTGTCCTTTATGCCCTCACTTGGGCCCTGTGCTGGTTTTGCTTCAGAACTGACCTGTAATAGTCCTGCTGCTCACGAGCATCTCATCTCCTGCCTGGGACCACGCCCTGGCACCACAGGCTCCCCGGCAGCCCCGCACACCCTTCTCTCACCTTGCGTCACCACCTTGCCGAAGACGGGCAGGGATTCGAGTGTGGAGCAGTTCCAGCGCCGGTTCCGAAACTGGTACTGGCACTCCTCAATGGCCAGTTGGGCACCACGGCGCACGGAGTCCATGACTTCCAGGTTCCGCTTGCACATCTGCACCTGCCTCTGGATCAGGCCCTTGAGTTTCTCGCACGTCTCCTCCTCTGAGATGCTCCCCACTGACGACAGCTTAGCCAGGTACCTGGGGAGAGGGTGGCATGCGATGCAGAGCCCACCTCCTCATCTTTCCCGGCTCAGGCCTGTGCTCCGGCCCGGGCCTCTGGGAACTGACTCATCCCAGTGACTGGGCCTAGGTGCCAACTTCTCTCTGGATCCAGTTATAGCCCTCTCGCCCAGCTCTAGGGGCACAGGGGAGTGGAGATACCGTCTTCCACTAAAGACCTGTATCTCAAGTCGGGCAAAGCAGGCAGCAGCAGTGGGAGGGAAGCTGACTGAGCCCTTACGGGATCCCTCTCTGCCCTGGTGGCCCTGTGCCACTGTCTGTGCCAAGACCTTACCCCAGACCTGGCTGTGGGCTTCAACTGTTTCCTGCCAAGATGCCCTCTAGCTAGGAGGCTGGAGCCGCTGTCTGCCCAGGATGTCTCCTTCCCTGCCTGAGGCAGGAACCCCAGTGACCTTGGCCCACCTTCTGGCCACAACACCAAGATCCTTACTGCCAGCCACATCCTAGGACCACCAGATGGAGACCGGTGTCATTGCTGCAGCCCTTTGGAGTTGGGACAGTGAGGGCAGTGACAGGCTAGGGTCCAGTGGTAGTCAGGATATGGCTGGTGGTGGCGAGAGTGGGCTGTGGGGATGGTTCAAAAGCCAAGTGCAGCGTGCTCTCCCCTCTGCCCCTTGAGTTTCGATGCTGGGGAGATGGGGCAGCGATGGCTACTCCTCAGAGGGTTATTGCAAGGATCACGATCTTGATGAGAGGAGTTCTGTGAAGGTGCTCCAGGACCAGGCACAGGCGGGAGGAGGGGCTGTGAGTGTTTCGATTTCAGTGGAGGACAAGAACACCATGGTTATAGGTCACCTCCTGAGTGCCGCGCACCGTGGCTGCACTTCGCCCTGTTGCATCCTCGCCCCAAATCTATGAGGTGATCTTTATGCCCATTTCATGGAATCTATTTTTTTTTTTTTTGAGACAGGGTTTTGCTCTTGTTGCCCAGCCTGGAGTGCAATGGCATGATCTTAGCTCACTGCAACCTCCATTTCCTGGGTTCAAGTGATTCTCCTGCCTCAGCCTCCCAAGTATCTGGGATTACAGAACGTGTGCCACCATGCCCAGCTAATTTTGTGTTTTTAGTAGAGACAGGGTTTCTCCACGTTTGTCAGGCTGGTTTCAAATTCCCAACCTCAGGTGATCCGCTCACTGCCCCCCATCGCCCCCCAAAGTGCTGGGATTACAGACATGAGCCACCATGCCTGGTCCATTTTATGAATTCTAAAATGACCAAGAGGGTGACAGGCTGAAGGTGACACAGATAGATAGCAAGTGCCAGAACTAAGCTTCAAGCCCCTTCAAACTCATAGGTCTTTCTCCTGCCTGTCCTCCTTGGTGGCATTCAAGGGGCCTGGAAAGGCCCTGATCCCTGTGATCTGGGCCAGAAGGTAAAGGGACCTGGAGCAAGACATGAAAGTGCCATTGGGATGGGAGCTGGGGAAGGGCCCTGTGAGGGAGGAGCTGTACCCCTCATGAGGGAAGGGGAGCTCGCGTTAACTGAGCACATAAGTGTCAGGTCTTGTTCAGAGAGGTGGTGACTGGCTCCAGGTCGCCCAGCTCTAAGCGCAGACCTGGATTAGAGCTCGGGTCTGGACAACCCAGAGGTTGTGCCCTGACCATTGCCCCTCAGCCTGCCCTACCCTTCGCCCCAGTGTCCCCAGCCAGGGCCAAGTGCTCATGTTAGGTGCAGAAGAGGCAGCCCGCAAGAGAGGAGAGCCAAGTGGTGACTCTGGAAGGACCCCTTTCCCATCTGGTGAGTGGGAGATGCATCTGATCACTTCCCGGGGCAAGGCTGCCTTCCAGGTTCCTGGAGGAGCAACAGAACGCAGAGACTCACACCTAAGGAATATTCCCTAACATGGGATCTGGCCCAGACCCCTCGTTTTACAGGTGGGCACACTGAGGCCCAGAGATGGAGCAGGGAGCCTTCCCATGCCTCTCAGTAGGAACCTCCAGGCCTGGCTCTACCTTTAGCCTCAGCCACACAGAATAAAGGCTCTGGAAGAAGAGTGAGCATCTTGAGCCAGGCCTCCCCCGGGGCTTGCTCAGCAAACAGAGTCTCCCAAGGGTCAGGGATTTTCTAGGGGTGGCAGTGGAGAAGCTGTTGCATCTTATCAAGGAAGCTGCACCAATGTCTTGTTTGAAGAAGGATAAAGGGAAGGTCACTGTTCTCTGGGCCTCGGTTTCCTCATCTGTAATAAGAGAAGGGACCACTGGTTCTGTCTGAGTCAAAGAACTGCTTTGCTATCTGGAGCAGGAGGGATCTGTGTGTCAGAGATGGCCTGACACTGGCCCGAGGCAACGAGGCAGGAAGTTGCCATTTGTTTGCCGAATAAGGGAATGAATGAATGGTGAGCAAATAGAAAAGTATACAGAAAGACCTATCTATGGGTAGTTTTTCTGATGATAAGTATAGGTAACTTTTATGGAACTTAGGACCGGGCTAAGGACTTTACATTATTGCATTTACTCCTCTCAGAAAGCCAACCAACTCCCATTTGAAAGAGGAGGTAACAGGTGCAGACAGGTTATGTAATTTGCCTCATGTGCCGGACCACATGGCCAGTGAGGTTGAGCTGGACTTGAACCTGGCGTTTGCCTGGCTTCACAGCCTTGGGTAGAGACAGTATTGGCTCACAGACTAGAATTGACACCAGGGCCAGAAGCAGCTGGAAGCTGGGTTTGTTCAACCCAAAGATGCTAGCCAGGGTGCAGTTAGGGGCCATCTCCCCATCTCCGGAGGTTTGCAGGCAGCAGCTAAGTTTAATTGTCAGGTATGTGGATCAGACGAAGCAATGGTTCTTGCTTCTGGCTGTGCATCAGAAACGTGTGCAGGGGTTGTAGAAAGCGGAGGTGCCTGGGCCCCAGCCCTGGCGGGGGTTGGTGGGCGTCTGAGGTTTTAATATGCCTCAGGTGCAGCTGGGAGGCCAGGCGGGCACCAGGCTGGAGAGCAGTCTGGGTAGGTATGGGTGATGTTTCCTTCTCAGTCATAGGGAGCTCTGACTCAGGGACGCCACTCTCCTCCTCACTGTGGCATCGATCCCCAGCGTGATTCCTTTTCCCCGTGGCTGTGGCGCCTGGGCCTGGCCTTCCTTATCTGTAAATGGAGATAACGGTTCTCACCCAGAGGGGTGCAGAGAGGAATGCCCATGATTTGTTGTGTGACGCACCTGGCTGTCGGGTACATCGTAGGTGCCAGGTAATGGTGGGGGCACATGCGCAGCATGGGGCAAGTGCGAAGTGGTCTCAGGTCGAGGAAGGCCGACCTCCCCTCCCTACCCGCGGCATTCCTGGTCTCCCAGGGGCCTCCCCGCCCCTCCTTCCTCTCTACCAGGTGCAGCCCGAGGGATGTGCAGAATGATGTTGTCCTGACCAGGCCGAGGCAGGAGCCTGGAGCCCCTCAGAGGGAAGGCAAGAGCAGGAAGGGAGCTGAGAAGCAGCGGAGGCTGTATTTGGACGGAGAGCCCTGCCTGTGTGCTCCCCTGCCTCTGCCCAGCAGCCCTGGGTCGCCTGTGAGCCAGTCCCACCTGTTGCTCTTGGCCTGCAGGGGGCGCCAAGAGCCCGGCTACTGGCGGTGGGCCAGGTCCACGTTCAGGAGGCCACAGGTGTCCCTTGCTGGGGGGACAAGAAATTGAGCCTGGTGGTGGATCCTTTCCTGTCCAGACCCAGGCTTGGCCTCTTAGAGAAGGGTGGGGGCCCTGTTTGTGATGTGGGGGCACAGAGCTGGCTCATCCCCAACTCAGCCTCTGCTCCTGCTGCTTGCAGCCAAGGAGGCTACGTCTGGCTGTGCTGGTGCTTGGCCTCTAGTCAAGGGAGGCACCCCAGGGCAGGGGTTCTCTGGGCAGGGGTAGCAGCCCCGACCCACCATGACCTTGGGCAAGTCTCTGCCATACTTGGAGCCTGTCTCCTCATGGGTACGGTAAACCGGGGGGTCCATATGGCCTTTCCCACTGTCAGAGTCGGTGGGCCTCCTTCTGCTGGCAGGGTAGGGTGTGGCCGGGCCTCAGGGGCCTGCTCACCCCATGCCAGTCTGACAGATGTGTCTCTGCCATTGAACAAGTAGTGAGATGGACCAGGGCAGGGGAGCTACCCACATCCCCCCACCTAGGCTCAGAACGCAGCAAGGGGAGATAGGCTGAATGACAGTCACAGGGGCTTCGGGTGAGCTGCTGGGCTGCCGTGGCCATGAGTCACTGGGCCAGCTTCCAGGAAGGAGCTGAGCAACCTCTTCCGTTGGCACCAGTGCCCACCCCCAGCCCCTGCCTTCATCTGGCACAGCAGCTGTCCCCTTCCGTACACATGGGGCCCAGCCCCACCCCTACCCGTTCCCCTAGACCCCAGGGTCTCGCCTGGGCAGGGCTGGGTGCCAGCGCTGGAAATGGAACTGGGCACTGGCTCTGGAGAGTGAGAATCCCAGGCATTACAGGCCCTCATCCACAATGTTTCTGCTTGCCTGCTTCAGCATCCAGCTAGTGTCTGGTCCCATTTTACAGATGAGCAAACTGAGGCTACAGAGACAAAGCAACCTGCTCAAAGTTCCATAGCTAGAGCTGTGAGCTGCAGTGCAAACCTAGCTTCGACTCTCAACCTTCTTTCCTCTGTACCTGGCCGTGGATCTGCCTCATTTACCTGCTGAGGGGGCTAACACCACCCTTGGTGCCTCGCACAAGGCATGGTGCATAGAAGGTGTTTAATAAATGTTTGCAGCAAGGATGGAGGGCTCTATTCTGACGGGGTTTCCTCTGTTCGCTTCCTGGCAGAGTGCTCAGGATGGGGAAGGATAGGGACGAAGGAGGAATGTGGGGTTGCGGTGGTCTTTTGGTTTGCTGAGGGCCTGGAGAGCCATCAGAGCAAGGCCTGATTAGTCCTGGATGCCTCAGGAATCCCCTTCCAGCACCCCAGGGTGGCTCAATCCCAGAGACACGTGTGCCGTCCGCTGACCCTGGAGCCGGGCCAGGCTCAAACATGGAGTG